TATATAGAGATAGCTATCTATCTCTATACCCTATTTATATACACATATATAACAGTAATTAAACACATCCGACTGAATAAAAACAGTTGGTGTAATAATTCTCATTTGTTTGTTTTGTGATAACATAATTATCAATTATGGTCCAAGATAAATTTTATTCTTGGAGATAAATTTAATTATATGAACTGAAATATTAAGGGAAGAACTGATGAAAATAAATGAGGCAGTAGACAGCTTGTGGAGGCCCGTAATTTCATCGTCATTTAGACTGGACGATGTTGTCGAAAAGGCTCTCCACTTTAGTGACCCAAGATTTGACTCCAAGGAGATCGTAATGATGATTGTTGTTGAAATATGTATGTCGCCTATCCTCGTATATAATCATCGACTTTATTCGCGTTAGTCAATAATGGAATTAAATAAGTTGAATAACGAGAATGGACTTTTGAATACATATATTTTGTATATGAAGTGAATGGAATAGAGAGAAGAGAAACGATGCGCAGTGGAGATGTCGGGTAAGCCAACTCCCCTTTAACCAAGCGCTAACCAATATTTATAAGAAATATACACACACCTACGCGCTCATATAAAAAGTCAAGATTGGTAAACGGATAATTAACAAGGTCAGAATGTGACTCGAGTAGAATGAATAGATTGAACTGTCCGAAAGCTAGAATAACATATATGGGCTTAACATAATAACAGACACTACAATCTAATGTTCCATTTTAAGTTGAGACCTATTAGCACCATACATCCATCATACACAAATTTACTGTGGTTGAACCCAGAACCTTCAATTCTTGGGGGCTAGTGGTTTACATTTAAACCGTTGTGAATTTGAACACAATGATCCTCCTCTTGAAATTCAATCTACGTGTGATATGTGGGATGTTAATCACCTAGCAGCATCAGTGAGTAATTATTACCTCCCATATGTTGAAAGTGATTTATAAATAAACGGATAGTTGCACAAAAAAATTCAGCTATTTTAATTAATTACTTGGTATTATGACCAGGAGAGAAAAGAAATAATTGATTTTTTTTAGTGGTCTTATATCTGACTCTAATTAGATCGGATAATGTTACTGAAGAGGTTATCGACGGGCTCAACAATATGGTGTCCCTGCATATAACTCCAGTTAGATCGTATGATGATTTTTACCGAAATATACATCTCGGCTACCCTCGTATATAATTACCCACTTAAATCGCATTAGTGAATAATGGGATTAAATAAATCATACGAGAATGAAGTTTGAACACGTAAATTTCGTACAATCGTTGATACAAACAGACGATGATAAAAACGGAGTTAAGAAAACAAAGAGAAGAAAGCGAAACGAAATGAAATGATACTCAGTGGAGAAGTCGAGTGAGCCAACTCGGTTTGACCAAGCGTGACTGAATATTTATGTTCAGACAAAAAGAAGTTATAGGCACATCGTGGATAGGGTAAGTAATTAACACATATACAATCATATAAAAACAGTCAGGGTTAATAAGCAAATAAGTGACAGGGTCAAAACGTGACTTCAGGAGAATGAATAAATTAGTCGGTCCAGAAGCTAGAATAGCTTATGTGGGCTTCACATGGTACTGACTGCTACAATTTTATAAGAACAATTAGTCCCATAAGAATATGCCTACTAATGAGTAGTTTACGTATTCTATGTGCATTCGCTGGCAAATATAAATCGTAGGTATAACACGTACAGTAGTTCATTGTTCTGCGCACGTACATATACACACACATGTATACAAATACATTTACATTTACACAATTCAAAGTTAAATGAAACATATATAAAATAGAAAAGAAAGCATGGAAATTTTACAGCTTCCCTGTCTAGTTCATTGTGTCTCACGAAAAAGAAAAAGAAATCAAAGCAAAGCATACATGATTTACGTGTACAATATTACATTACCATGACTATTGAAGGAAAATAGATTTATGTTGATAGTATAACTATGGTTGCTTCCGTTTTGGGTTTATACAATAATATATTAATATTACTATGACTTTATTATTGTTATTACATTAAATCTGTTTTATCTCTCGATTTGATTTGATTGAGCTTACACTAATTATTATTTAGTAAAGATTGAAGTAATTCTAATGGGAATGGAATCTATTGCAAATTTGATAGAGTGGTGAACGAGAAATACAACGCTTCGAAAATAAGTCCTAGAGACGGAACCCAGAAAGAAGGCAGCGATGCTGAGGTAAACATGGTATAAAACAATTTAATACATGTAGTAACCAAGTATGACCTTGAGAATACATGTAATAATAATAAATCAATGAAAATAACAAATGCCATGAGGGAATTGTTAACATGTAATTTGTTGAATAGGTATACTTGGTCCCAGTAGAGAGACTCTTAAGTAGTGCACGCTAGTGACCTACTTTAAAATATTCCCGAAGTTCTAGTGAAAAGTTCTGATCGGTCGAGCTTAAAAACACAACGGGAGTAGGATAGTGGTCACTAATGGCGTTTGACAAACATCACGTTATTAAATTTGAAACTGCAACATTGGTGGTTTATTTACTGTTTAGAATAGTTAGGCATTCACTACCAGATCTGAAGATCCTGGGTTTAATTCCTGATTGAGTTGTGAGTACGTACTGCTATGAAGAGCTGTTCAGGTCTCCTTGGATTTCAAAGCTACCTTTAACTTGGGTCAACTTGTTAACAATAGAGTTAATTAACCATAATCTATAAACAGTAGAAGACACTATGGTAACAATCAATGAATTAAAATACTATGATACAAAAACATAAGCATTTACAAACTAAATTCATCAGTTTCAAGTCACAAATATTACATTTTCTTGACAGATTTCCTACTGTCTAGTTGGGTCTACAGAGTTGAATAACTCAATAAATTTCCAGTTGTATCAAACAAACAATTGATGCGCTCAACATTACTATCATCGACTTTGTACACAAACGTCAAAATCTATAAGACAGGGAACATTACTCAGTCGGTCAGTTACAACGTAGGACCAGGCACATATATGTATCGATCCAAGCTGCCACACACCATTAGCACAACAACATCAACACCGAATTCACAGAAGTGGTCATTTCAATAATAGTAATGTATAAAATAAAGATTGCATATAAAGATATAGTACAGAAAGAAAGATATAAAGAAATTTTAATCCTATACTTTAAGAGAATGTATACACCTACGCCATTGTGATCGATTCTGAGCTATGTCACCAAGAGTCTCCAACCATTGGTTACGATAGTCACACGGACCCCAACCAAGTAGTGTGCATCTACCAACATGCATCACACTAGAAGTTAGTCACTTCAATCACTGATGCCACGTTTTGGTTTGGCCGACATTAACTTTCTTCCAACCATCCCCTACACTAGTTAGCATTGCGTATCGTAGTAATCGGAGTTCAGGCATACGTAACACGTGACCCAACCATCTCAGTCGATGAACATTCACAACCTCGTCGACTGGTTTACCATCATTCCCTAATACCCAACGTCTAACCTCACGATTACTTACCCGGTGATCTCAGCAGATGCGAGCAATATTTCTAAAGTATCCATGGTCAAATACTAAGAGCTTACGAGTATCTTCTACTCTTAATGGAACATTACTCAGACTCAAACTTAGTAAAACTCCTTCATAGAACTCAAATCAAATATATTTGAAATTTTCTATGTAGATATAAAAAAAACTAAGAAAAACGCCATTAAAACGAACTATGATGACTATAAACCAATATTTTCTCCGGACATCAACCAAATCAGTAAATTGAGTTGAGAGAAAGAAAGAAAGACAAATACAATTATTTCATCTAACATATGAATGTAAACAAATGCTGTATACAAACAATATTTTTGAAGGAAAAAAAAGAAACGGAAGAAAATCTGTGCTCTTTCTTTTCACACTGATTACTTTTCTACCAATTGACTATTTATTCGTGAAACATACACCGAGAGAGAAAAAAAACTGACAATAATGATGATGATAATATAAAATAGGTGTTAGAAACACCTTGACAACAAGTCATAGACAAACATGTTAACACCTGGCTACAAAATTTACTTATATGTGTTTTTTCACAGCATGAAATACGTTGTTCTATGAATAACTGTTTATTGACTAAATTGGAATAAAATAAATTTAATGATGAATAGATAGTTTAATACTTCAAGACTTCATGATATCATTGTTACTATGTGTAAATGGGTAAACTGAAACAAATTTTGACATGAAATTGTTTGAATAAAAAAAAGTAATCAATCGATTGAAAACCCGCTTTGATCTGAATTTCATGTTAGTTGGCACTTGTCAAATAAGGTGTATATTATAATCTACAAAAGATTATTGATTATTTTTAATACATGTAACCCTAGTTTCACAATTAAGGATATCCAATCACCATTATTCTATCATTGATGAACAAGGAGGATCGGATGCAGACGTAAAAGCTAGGATTGGTAAAGCAAGAACAACATATGGAACTGAAAATAATTGTCTGTCAACCAATATCACAATCAGAATACTTAATGTGAACGTCAACACAGTTCTACTGTATGGAGCTGAAACGTCGAGAACTATTACAACTATCATCAAGAAGGTACAAGTATTTATAAACAATTGTCTACGCAAGATACTCAACATCGATTGGCCGCATACCATCAACAACAGCCTTCTGTAAGAGAGAACAAACCAACTTCCAGATGAAGAGGAAATTAGGAAAACACGATGGAAATCAATAGAACATACATTACGCAAATCATCAAACTGCATCACGAGGCAAGCCCTAACTTAGAATCGTGAAGGGAGCGGAAAAGAGGAAGGTCAAAGAATACATTACGTCGGGAAATAGAAGCAGATATGAAAAGGATGAATAACAACTGGAAAGAGCTGGAAAGGATATTTTAAAAATCATGAAGCTTTCTAATCACTACTAAAAACACTAATACTGAAAAAGGAAATGAATGAAGAAAAAAACAACTCACATTTCCATCACCACGTCCAGCTGTAAATATAACACTAATAATGACTAAATGTGAGAATTCTGCTTGAATCCATTCACGTAAACCATCCTCTACATGTGTATTTGGACACCATGCATAACCACTTGTATGTTCATTACTTCCATAAACTTCTGTTAACCTAGAAGAGGAAGAAAATGAATGGAAAAAAATAGAGAGAAATGGACTAAAAAGCGAGAAACTGAAGTGAATATTGAAACAATAAAAAGATTTGAAATAAGTCTGTATATGCATAGACTTAAATAATTTAATTTAATTTGGTTATTTATTCTCTGAAGAAGTGACTTATACTAAGCCACGAAACGTCAGAAAATCCAATTTTCTACTCATTGGGATATTACAAATATATTATTTTTACTTAAATAATAAGTTAAATTTCATTACAGCCTAAGGAGGAAATGTAGTCTTACACAGTTGTATTGGAGAGTTGAAGGTGTTTTACACCATGATTCTAGTTACCAGTGAAAGTTAAGCAGTCATAATCAGCGTAGAGTTCAGTAAAAATATGCGTTAGTCCAAAGTCATATACCGAATTAGTACAGAGACAAAACCAACAAGATGACAAGGTATTCATGAAAAAACGTTAGAACTCAAGATCTAGAATAAGATAAATAATGAATATATCTGTGTCATTGTGAGTAATTGTGACCCAGTGAAAGTGTAAGGTAAGCCGAATATTTAATTCTATTTATTCATTATGCAATAAACACTACCTTTCGTAAAACTCTTATGTTTTACGATGATGCGACCTAGTTAGAAGCAGTTTGCTCGAAAGCCTAGTTAACGTGAGTTTCACACTGTTCGGAATTCACTGCATCAAGATGCTACCTACAACCTTCAGGGAACTGATATTCACTGTAAGATTTCAATATACATGAATTGCATTACATTTACAAAACCTTACCACCGCCAAGGTATTCGAGTTTCTGATTAACAATTTATGAATATACGGTAATAAAATAAATCCTATTGAACGAATAATAATCAATTTTAAAAATAATATTTACTACTTAAATAAAGGACAATGATCTACTAATAAGTCCATGAACTTTACAATCAATCAATTCATTGAAGTTTCTATTTGTGATGTTTTCTTCTGTAAGCGAGATTGAAAAAAAAACCCATCGGAATTCTGGATAACTGAAACCGTAAAAGAATTACAGAATTTCTAGAAGTATAGTATTCAGATTAAATGTGAATCAATAAATATATTAATATAGATCCGATCTATCAATCTTTACGAAGCAACTTAGTCAACCACATGGTCAGATAGTGAACATGCAAAGATGAACAACTGAAAATAGCAAAGCCTACGAAAACAACCAATCATAAACAAAACTATCAGAAAAAGAACGGATTAAGACTGGTGGAATAAGTAAGCAACTAACTTCTACATTAAGTAGACACTGATGATGTTGTTCAGAACACGATATTGAAAACTCTGAAAATAAAAAAACCTAGGCCCCCAAATGCCCTGGTACGGCCGAGAGCGGGGAGAGTCCGCTCTCCATCTCGAAACGCTCTCACATGGCCACGTGTTTATAGCCTCTGCCAGGGAAGTCCTACTCATTGCCTTCTCGCACCACGGGTGTTGTTTGCGAAATTAAGAGGACGAAATGCGAATGCCGGCGCTTTAACCACGCCGGTGGACATGGAGAGTCCACCTAGGGGAGTTGGAAAACCCTGATTCCAAACCGACGGTGCACATGGGCTCCAGTATCCTAAGGGAACAAATGGCGAATGAACCAATCGTTGGTCACCGGCTTCCATGGGACTGCATCTCCTTACGATGTTCCACTGCCTTGTGGATCAGACATTCAGGTCGAAGGCTCGGAGAGTGGCCCCCTAAGAAAACCACCTGCTTCAGTTTGGGCACCCGGGCAGTATCACAGCTCTCACACAAATCAAATGAGATTTGTATGGCGCATATGTATTTGGTGCCTCATTGTACCAATAACTACGTGTTCAAATAAAAAATAAAATCAAAACAATCTATCTAGGCTACAAATCTTTTTCACTATTCCAAAATGTTTAGCGTCCTTAAAGATAAAAGTAGTAATAAAGTGAAATCTTTTAATAAGGGTAACACATATTATATCCTATATTATAAAAAAGAGAAGTAATTTATGATGATAAGATCAATGCAACATGAAAGTATCCGAAGATGTAAACAATGTAAACAAATATACATGTAGATATATATACATAATGAATACACAAGAAGAGTATGCTACAATAATAACTAGGTATAAATACACTTCAATTATGAATATTTCCCACTTAATAACTATGACCTGAACAAGGAAATATAATTAAAGGAATACTTTAATCTATTTTGTTATAGAAAATAATAATTATTTAATTAATTAATTAATTAATGATCAAAGAAAAATGATGACGTCACCAATGTATGAAGAATGAAGAATAGAATAACCAAAGAAGAAACAAGACAAATCGAGAAGAATATTTGTTCCGTTCATTTCACTATTGAACTTAAATTATCAAAAAAAATAATAATTAAAAAAAAGAAAAGATCAAGGTCAAATCATGAACATTCATAATTATAAAACGTTTATGCTGTCCCTGGTAGCGCAAGAAGTGAACATATTACATAAATAATGCTGAACAGACATTTATTATTATTATTATTATTATTATTATTATTATTATTATTATTATTATTATTATTATTATTGTCCATGAAGCTTTATTTATTTTATTTTAACACACAGATATTGGTACAAGGAGGCACCAAATACATGTGCGCCACACAAATCTCATTCGATATGTGTGAGGGCTGTGATACTGCCCGGGTACCCATGAAGCTTGAATAACAAAATACATGCAAAACCTTCATGAAGATATCTATATTCTATAATAGATCGTTGTAGATGTGTTTGTAAGTGAATTACATCATTAAAATAAGGTTAAAAACAAAGGGAGCATAGAAAAAAAAATAAACAGAAAAGAAAGTTTACGAAAAATCAAACAAAATATTTACATCAGTATATGGTTGTGGAGATTATTAAGTTACTGATTGAGATCATGAATCGATTAGTGTTAGACCACCATTGGAAACCTGGAAGCACTGGATGGCTGTTTCGTCCTATTGTGAGACTCCTCAAAAGTGCGCATCCACGATCTCGCTAGTGGGATTTGAACCCAGAGCCTTCAGTCTCGTGCGCGAACGCTTAACCTACCAAACTACTGAGCCGGCCGGCATCTAACGGTGTTAATGTCTAACCTCAACCAATCCACAAAATTGTGCGACCATCTTCCATTGTATTGACGTAGATACCTGTCTCTACCTGACACGGAATAACTCCACTGGTCAAATTATAACTCTTGAAAAATACAAGTAGTTCACTTGTAATCCAATAAGAAAATTGTTTTTAGAATAAAACGACAGGCATCAATCAAAGTAGTAACTTTAAATAATTGTGAAGTTATCAATCACTATTTTGAAATGATACAAATAAACAATGTAGAAGTATCAAGGCTTAAATTGTTTCATGTACTTTGTTTTCATGGTCAATATGCAATGTTTTCCATGCGATAACTCAGTGAATAACAACTTTCTAGGATTTTTATGTACATCTTATTTCAATAGTTGAGATTATAAGTCAATTGAGGCTAGACCAACATGGAAAACCTGGAAGAACTGGATGACTGTTTCATCCATGATGGTCTAGCATCTTGTCCTCATAAACTAAGACCAATTATTTGTGTACCCAGTAACCCATTTTCTGTGTGGATACTGTTACCCAATCGGTCTGCTACGTGATCTTGGTCTTGTATGTATATAAATGAATGGATGAAATAAAATAACTATCTTGGACTAGTGACCATCAGTTTTGTGTTTTTCCTCTTCGTTCAGAGCTAATTAGTATTACACTAACCGTCAAGCATAGAGTATCAATCATTCAAGACCTTGATGCCTATTTTTTAGTACTTAAGCTTATCTAAGAGTATTAGTTAGTCGTAGAACATAAAATGTATAAACAATAGTTTTGCATTGGGAAATCATCTTACATCATATATTTCATTACTTCATATTATTATCAATTCAGTTACAAATGTTCAGCGAGAAATCAAGTCTTTTCACAATAAATGGAAACTAAAGTATCCCATTTATGTGATTACATAGTAAATATTTCATATCAATCTGATCGTGTCTGTAATCTGACATAGATTTTCTACAAATTTCTAGAACGTCATTATTATTAGGTTAAAATGAATGAAACCACTTCAAATAACCAGATCCTATTCAAGTGTATATAACTGAGCGATAAATTATATTCAACTATTTTGAATTAAATATTTTCAGAAGGGGTTTTGTGGATATTACAGTAATTTTAAAATAAATGTAAATGTTTAATTTTACTAGTTGAGATCATGAGTCAATTGTAGCTAGACCACCATGGAAAAGCTGATAGCACTAGACGGCCATTTTGCCCTATTGTGGGAATCTTCAACAGAACTCAAGACCTACCGGTCCTGGGTTCGAACCTCACGAGGTGGGATTGTGGATGTGCACTGCTGAGCAGTTCCCCAATAGGATGAAACGGCCGTCCAGTGCTTCCGGGTTTTCCATATTGATCTAGCTTCAATTGACTCATGATCTCAACTACTAAAATTAAACATTTACATTTATACATACAACATACGTTCTTAGTATACTTTGATTTTACTCAAAGTGAGTATTTCTCTCACAGATAATTAATTAATTAATCATTTCTATTTATATATATCATAATTATTATTAAATGTGACAGAACTGAGTTGATTAAAATCATTCCTCCTACCTACATGAATGTGTTGTGTCATTTTAATTTTCTATCATTATTATTATTATTATTATTATTATTATTATTATTATTATTATTATTATTATTATTATTATTATTGGTAGTGTTGTTGCCTTCTAATAGTGATCATTTATGCATGAATAAACACATACAGGATAGAATATTGTCTCCCTTCTCTACATGATTAAAGTATCCGTATCATCGGTAACAAATTTCATTCATTGACAATAGTAATAATAATAATAATAATAATAATAATAATAATAATAATAATAATAATAATAATAATAATAATAATAATAATAATATGAAA